GAGAGATCAAGACTAAGTTTGGGGACGTGAGCAAGTCTTCCTTCTTACTAAGCCTGGAGACCAGCTTTCATCGATAGGAAAGGGAAACAGAAAAGAGAGAGGCCCAACTGGATTTCAACAGGAGGGCCGTGGGTTTAGTACTGGGCAGTGGACGGTGAGCTAGACTGAGGCACCTCCTTCCCTTGAGAGTGCAAGGTCAGGATCTCAGAATAGCCTGAGACAGCATAGCTTAGTGGTTATAAACACAAACTCTGGAGCCAGACTGCCTGGGTCAAAAGCCCGTCCCCAACACTTGTTGGCTGTGTCACCTAGACAGGTTGCTTAATCTCTATGTGGCTCTGTTTCCTTCTTTGTAGAAAATGTGAATAATGATAGTACCTATCTCATAAATTTATTGTAAAGATTAAGATGCCTAGTAAATATAAAGCTCTAGAACAGAGCCCAAGAAATACCAAGTGAATATGAGTGTCAGTTCAGTAACATGAATAAAAAGTAGGGTGTAAAGGTGGCCAATTTAATAAATATTTAATGTGCACCTACTATGTTCCAGATACTGTGCTACCCAAGATTTAGCATGGGAGGATCTGGCTTTGGAATCAGGCAAAATTGTATTCTAATTCCAGCTCTGCCCTTGGCTATGAGCTGGGTGGCCTTGGGCATATTACATAACCTGCTCAAGCCTCTGTTTCCTCATGTGTAAAATGTGGATAATAATAAGCACGGGGCCACACAGAATTGCTGTTAGGAGTAAATGAGGTAGGTAGTGGCTATATGCATAGCATATTGAAGGAGGCTCACTAAGTGGTAATATATGATGTCTGTAAGGTGGGACCTGTCTGATGAAACGTAACAGGAATAAATGTCAGGTCTCATATCTGAGTAAAAACTCAGTTGCAAAATAGTACAACACTTGCACAAGTAAAGAACAGGAGAGGATTGAACTGGGAAGAAGATCTGCGTGAAAAAGATCTGTGGGTTTTAGTTGACCACAAGTTTCCTATGAGCCAACAGAGTGATCTGGCCGCCCAAGGACTAATATAATTTTAGATGGCATTAATAGAAATGGTGAGTTGAGATCCTGGAAAATGATCGTTTCACTGTCCTGTGTGCTCTGTGCAGTCAGGTCACTTCAGATGTACAAGATTGCATTTTGCTCACAGTATTTCTAGATAGACAATGACAAACTCATTGACAAACTGTCCAGAAGTGGTGACCTGGCTTGGGAGGCATTGGAAAACTCTTTCTTGAGGATGAGATTAAAATAACCCAGGGAGGGAAACACTAAAGCAATATTTGAAACAGTTCTTTCTTCTAATGAAAATGTTTACAGAACATACCCCACATCCAATCTGTCAGCAAATTCTGTTCACTCTTTTCTCAGATTATATCAATAATCCAACCATTTCTCATCACCTCTCTGCTACTGTGCTGACCTAACCCCCCACTTGCCCGATTATTACAATAGCCTCCTAGCAGATTTCTCTGCTTCCACCCTCACCCCTCAGTCTACTCTCCATGCAGAAGACTAACCAGTCCTTTGGAAATGTGAGTCTAATCATGTCACTCCAGTGACTTCCTATTTTATTCATGGTGTAAGTCAAAGTCCTTACAAAGACCTGCAAAAGTCTTGCTTGGCCTGACTCCCACCACCTCTCTGACATCATCTCCTGCTCTCCCCCTTACTTACTCAGCTCCAGTCACTAGAGTCTAGTCACAGTTCCTCCAACTAGCCAGGCATTTTCCTGTCTCAGGGCTGTTGCATTTGCTGCTCTCCCTGACAAGAACCTGCTTTACCTAAATATCTGCGTGCCTTGCTCCTCATGTCCTTCAAACCGTAAGTCAAATGTTATCATCTTGGTGAGGTATTCTCAGCCACCCTTTTTATTTTATTTATTTATTTATTTTAAATTTTTATTTATTTGTCAGAGAGAGAGAAGAGAGAGCACAAGCAGGGGGAGCTCCAGGCAGAGGGAGAAACAGGCTCTCTGTTGAGCAAGGAGCCCGATGTGGGACTCGATCCCAGGACCCTGGGATCATGACCTGAGCTGAAGGCAGACGCTCAACCGGCTGAGCCACCCAGGTGCCCCTCAGCTACCCTTTTTGAATTGCAACAATTTCCCCACCGGACACACACTTATGTATTTCCTTTCTCTGTTTTATTTTTCATCACATCATTTAATAGTTGTTTAATATTCTATAGCATATTCTTCTATACAGTAATAGATAAAATATGTAAAAGAGTTGCTATTGTTGAACCTGGCGGGAGTTGGGTGGGCATGAACTCTACCCCCTCCAAAGCCTGGGTAACTGAGTTAACTACATAGAGATACATTTGCAAATGAATGTTGGCCAAACCCTGGAAACACCACTAGTGAGATATTCTGAACTCAGGGAGGCCAACTCATATTTTCTGGGCGTTGTAAGACTATTATGTGTAAGAAGTAGATTCCGTCTGGGTTGCAACTTGAGGCAGAACTAGAGCCAGTGAATACAAAGGGAATGTACAAAGGCAGACATGGGATAAATCAATTTGAAATTCTCCGGTTTTGTCATGAAGTGGTGAGTTCCCCATCCCTGAAGGTGTACAGAAAGAGGCTGTAAACTGCTGTGAAAGAGATTGTATACTGGGTTGGGGATTGGACCACGCACCACCTTGACAATTTTTGTAGCTGTGAGATGCTGGGACCAAAGGTGTGTGAGCTCAAGGATTAGGGGTAATTTACATTTGTTTTTTAAACATGGGGAGAGGATCTTTGGCCTGTGTTCCTGGAGTCCCAGAGACAAATTCTGCTCCTAGAGGTCCATTCCACCCTAATTGAGATTCCATTTCCCAGAAATTACCCGATGCTAGGCTGATGATTAGAGGCCAGCCAGGGGTAAAGGGACTGATTCCCATGGCAACCAGGTTGAAAAAAGTGCCATGTGGAGCATTGTCAGCAACAAGCTAAGGTTGCATTATAAATAGATGTTTAATTCATTGAGATAGTTTGTGACGACTTCTGCATTATAAATAGATATTTAATTCATTGAGATAGTTCTGACAGCGAGTAGGAAAGTTAAATCCCAAAGCCACTCTTTGTCTTTAAGTATTTCACAGTTAATTGACAACTATTTTTTTTCCCTTCTAAAACATGTAGAGCTTGGTTCTCTAAGTGAAAGAATGGTATATGCGAGTGTTTTTAGAAAACCAACTAACAGTCCAGTGTCACAATATTTCTCACTATTTGTTTCTCATTGAAAGGTTTATCAAAATTTTATCTGATTCCATGAGCACCTGTATTTAAATCTTTTTCACATAGGAGACCCCAGGTTCAATGTCTGGATTTCATATGAGTCTTTTTTTCTGTCATTTTTGCCTCATCTTCTTCCTGCTTTTCTAACTCAGAGGCTTCTCTAGATTTCAGACCTTGGCCCTCTGCTCTTTTCTTTCCATTTCTCTTTCCTTTGGTTAACAGCTAAAGTAATCACTTGTTAACTTGCACAGCCCTGCCCCTAGCCTTAATAATACACTTTGAAACACCTGACGATTGGAAAACAAAATCAGACCTGAGCAAAGGACTTCTATCCTAAAACCAAGGACCAAAAACAAGCCTCCCTTTAGTGTTCAAAATGTACAGCTTGATTGAGGGTTAGGGATTAAGAGTTTGAAGGCAGAGAGTAGTGCTCAGCAGAAAGCAACAATTAGGTTTTGCTAAATTCAAGTGTAAAGGCACTTTTGAAATGTAATTTTTAGAAACACCATAAGAAATTAATATAAGGGACTAACAGAATCTCATCAAATGGAAATCAGAGTGAAACTTTGTACTTCTACATTCCAAAGAGCTTAATACAAATTAATCTATAGTATTCCGTGTTTCATTCTGTAAGGATTAAGGGAAATGGGATGCATTTTTTTCCATTAAGTTGCTGGATAAATAAGCTCCTTAATGTAAAATTTTATTTTATTTTATAATAAAATTTTATTATAATCTGGAATAAACAACTCACTGTGTGCAGCACCCTTGTGCATTGCTCTACTGAACAGTGTTATCTTAGAATTAAACAGTGTTGGGAAGTAAGGAACTTTTGGGTTCAGGTCTGAGGAATCATGACCTCCTCTAGGATCTGTAGGTCAATTCTTCTGAGGTCTTGGACATGTTCGAGGAACTAGGTAAGTCCCCTTCCCTAATCCAATCTCCCTGATGTATACTGAATTCCCACCCATGGAGCAAATGGCATGCTGATCCGGGAAGGAAGATCAGGGGCTCAGAATGCAAGCTGGTCTCCATCTGGAGTCCTGGGAGCACACCCCCCCCACCCTTCCCACTCCAAACCAACCACCTCAACCACCTCACTTGCTTACCCACTCTCTGAGATCCCACTACCAGAGGCCCATTCCTTTGGGAAAACAAAACTCTTTTCAGTGAATGGCAAAGTATTCAGCTTTTATCAATCATTTACACGAGTGAATTAATGTACACTCCATGATTGTTAGGTAAGGGCCACAAAGCACACTTCATCAATTTCAAAGTTCTGCAGAGGGCTAATCCTAATGTTTGAAAGCAGGCATACTATGGACCTAGAAGTAACATGGTGAAAGGGATATACTTTTTTATTTTATTTTATTTTATTTTATTTACTTTATTTTATTTAAGTTCAATTAGCCAACATATATACATCATTAGTTTTTGGTTAGTGTTCAATGATATACTTTCAATGTTTGTCCTCCTTGGGCTGAACTCGGAGGAAACACTGCCATCCATCCATCCATCCATCCATCCATTCAATAGTGGGATTGAAGGACAAAAGGACATTCTACTCACTGAACCATGTCTCAAACCAAATTGGGAAGTACTCTTTTGGAGCCTTCCCTCCTCCCCCACTCCATCCTTAAGCTCTTTCCTTTGTGCTAGCAGCCCCATGCTCTCTTATTCTGCCATAGAGGTCAGCTCCAATACACAATTTCTAAGCTATAAGTGGACAACAGACCTGTGGAGAAACCACTGCCATAGTTTTTGCAGTTAAATAGTGAATACTCTTTTTATTCAGAATACATTTTTAACAGAATTTCATGCACCAGTAAATCAGTACAGTGAGGAGTTACAGGGGTGGGGAATATCTCTTCAGGAAACATCTCACCCTGGTAGAGCTCTCAACTCCCAGAATCCCCTTAACCCAGCTCAGATGATTAGTGGCCAAGGAGCAGTAGATGGGGTTGACTCCCAGTATAACCAATAGGATTTGCAGGTCTCTGAGGATAAAAGAGAGGAGAGGAAAGCTCTTGTAAAGGAGGAGACTATTATATTGGGACTGGCAGTTCCACTGAGGTTCCCTGAGAGACTGATGAGGGAGAGCTGGTGTTGGCGCCTGGTTCTCCTTCTTGATTACACTCTTCAAGGGCTACGGTCTGGTCTCTTCCATCTGTCTCTGAGTCCCTGTGTGGAGAAAAAGACATGACTAAGGGAGGATCCAAAACTATCAATCTGAAAACAGGTTGTGTTACAGGGCTCAGATATTCGAGGAGCATTCAGACAATTTTTTTTTCCACCAGCCCTGGGTTTATAGAAGGAGGCTGACATGAGGCATTTACCTGGTTCGGAGTCGAGGCCACTTCTTCCATTCTATGGCTAGCACCACCCCCAAAGCTACAACTACCACCACAATCAGACTACTTCGGACAATGTTCCCCACAGTGCACTCCTGAGCGGCAGGCCCTGTGATGACAAAAGAGTAGACACCAAGGCTATGGAGTTAGCACATGTACGTTCCCCTGATCTCTTGTTCCCTCATTTGGCCTCCTTCAGGGTTCACTTGTGAGCCATGTTGAGAATGCAGAGGGGTTGGTCAGAGCCAGTGCTTATGCTGAGGAGAAGCTGCCCTCCTTTTGGGGGTGGAAGAGGCCTTGAAAGTAGAGGCCTGCTCATATCTGTGGGTGGATCTGAGGTCCACCTCCTCACCATCCCTAGGAGAAAGATGACCACACTTGAGGTCTCTGACTCCAAATCCTCCCACCTCCATCTTTGGTGGTCTCCATCCAGACTATCTCTGGGATCCCAGGTGGGTCATTCCAGAACCATAGAGGGATTATCCTCTCACCTGCTGCCCCCACCAGCTCCAGGGCATTGCTAGGCTCTGACCAGATGTCAGGATAGGCCTGGAGGCGGTAGCTGCAGCTGTAGTTGCCAATGCCTTTTCCTTCTATGTTGTTGATGATGAAGTCCCCATCCTCTGAGAACTGCTGAGGTGCTTCTTCTCCGTCATGTTCTAAGACAAATTCAACACCTGGCAGGGGTCCTCGGCACTGAAGGGTGATGTCCTTCCCTAGCTTGAACACGGTGCTGGGCCAGGCTGACAGAGAGGGCTTAGGGGGCTTATCTGCAACCAGCCAGGACAACCAACCAGAGTTAGAAGCGGTCCTGAATCCCCTTAGGGCTAATTACTTCAAAACTACAAAGTATAGACTATTACTGAGGTCTCTAGGACCTTACCAGTCACCCAGATCTCCAGGAAGTCACTGCGATTGGAAGCCGCAAAGGGAGCAGAGTCCAAATAATAAACACAGCTATAGACCCCAGAATCGTCACCTCTCACCGCTGGCATCCAGAAGTCAGCCCTGTACCCGCTTGAGCTCTGTTGCTCCAAAGGCTCTTGAGTGCCCTCCTTCAACAGGACAAATGTTGAGTCTGGCAGTTCCCCTTGGCATCGAAAAGTCATATTTTCTCCAGGGGCCACGATGGGTCCAGGCTGGGCTAAGAGGCTGGGTTTAGGGAGCAAACCTAGAAGAAATTAACTCCTGGTCAGAGAGAGGAGGCCACTTTCCAGTGTGCTACCCCTAGAGTCTGTTCAATAAAGAGGAAAGACTATTGCTTGCCTCTCCTTGAGCTCTTTGAAAACTATGTCCATGAACCCTCTCACAGTCCATTCTCTCCTCTCTCCTCTCCCATGCCTGCTCCAGAGCACCTTCCCATTACCTGTGACTATGAGTTCCAAAGTGTTGCTAGGCTGTATCTTGATAGGGCTGGTCCAGTCAGGGTGGTAGCAGCAGCTGTAACGCCCTATGTTAGCACCAGATATGTTGGTGATGGGGAATGCCCCGTCATTACTGGTGGATCCCCAGAGCTGCACTGAAGGGGCTTCTCTTTCTTTGTGTAGAATATACCCTACTCCATGGACTGGCCCCTGGCACCAGAGAGTAACATTCTGCCCCACAGGAACCACAGAACTGGGCTCAGCAAACAACCATGGCTTGGGAAATGTGTCTAGAAAGAGATCAAAGATGTCGTGAGTGTAGATACTTATCACTCGCTGCATTAACCCTTTATCTTTCTCCTTCTGGATACAATAGTTCCCCCCTCCTTGGTCTGGCCTAGCCTTCTACCCTCCCTAACCCCTACTCTAGTTGTCTCTGTCCCAGTCTCATATCTTGTCTGTTCTTTTTTTCCATATCATTAATTACTTTATTTTTTTCTTTCTCAAATTTTTATTTAAATTCTAGTTAGTTAACATATAGTATAATATTGGTTTCAGGAGTAGAATTTATGATTCATCACTTACATATGACACCCAGTGCTCATCACAAGAGGTGCCCTCCTTAATGCCCATCATCCATTTACCCCATCCCCAACCCACCTCCCTCCATCAACCCTCAGTTTGTTCTCTATCCTTAAGAGTCTCTTATGGTTTGCTTCTCTCTCTTTTTTTTTTTTTCCTTCCCATATGTTCATCTGTTTTATTTCTTAAATATATCTTGTCTGTTCTTACCAGTCACCCAAATCATAATGGGCTTGCTGAGATGTGATCCCCTATTTGACATGGCTGTCTCGTAGTAGACACAACTGTAGTTCCCAGAGTCCTCTGCTCCAACACTGTGGAGGAGGAAGTCAGCTGAGTTCCCGGAGGTGCTCTGGAACTGTAAGGGAACCTGGGTTCCCTCCTGCAAGAGGGCAAACCTCATGCCCTGGAAAGCCCCTTGGCAGCGCAGGGTCACATTCTTCCCAGGAAGCACCACAGGACCCGGCTGTGCCAGAAGAGTGGGTTTGGGGTAGAATTCTGAAATTCAAGAGACCACAACATGAGAGAAGCCTGCCCCCCACTTTCTGCAGATTGCTTTTTTAGCATTATTGGAAGAAACAGTATGTGTTTATCTAGCAAATTAGAAAATACAGAACAAACCTAAGAAAATACAATTCTACCATTCAAAGATAACCACTCTTTATACATGTCTCTATCTCTCTTTTTCATTTTTTTCTCTATGTGTCCATGTCATTGTAGCTGTAACTATTTGCATAATTGGGATCCTACTGTATGCACAGTTGTGTAGTTTAATATTTTTCACTTAACTTTATGTAGTAAACATTTTTCTATGACGTTAATCAGCCTTTGAAAACTATCATTTGTAATGGCTGCATAATATGCAACTGTCATTTCAAGGTCTTTGCCCATTCTCTGAGGGCCATCCAGCCCACCAATCTCTGACAGCTCAGCTAAAGAAAAAGTGAACATTGAGCCTAAAGCTCAAGGCCAAGCCACAAAAAGATTTTAGAAATAGGGCATGTGAGCTGGCATTGGGGATTGGACACCCCCATCTGCCTCATTTCTTCCCCTAGATGTGAATTACTTGCCTCTCCCCTCTCCTTTGTCTCTTCTCCCTGTATTAGTAATAATAGAATCTGCTGCCTTTCATGGACTATTTACCATGTACCAGGCACTTTCCTAAGCACTTTCTTGATGATTTTATTTATGTATGTATGTATGTATGTATGTACGTATGTATGTATGTATGTATGTAGGCTCCACACCCAGTGTTGGGCTTGAACTCATGACCCTGAGATCAAGAGTCCTGTGCTCTATCCTGGTGACTTTTAGAAGGAGCACTTTTCCTCTCCCACTGACAGCCCTCCCACCCATTGTCCCAGGGTCAATCCTGCCTCCATCTGTGTTTCCCCACTCCTGACCTGTTACCACGAGCTCCACAGGGTCGCTGGGCTCAGACCAGATAGCAAAGTCATAATAGCGGCAGCTGTAATTCCCTCCATCACCAGTGCCCACTGAAATGATCAGAAAGTGAGCCGCACTGGCCCCTGGACTTGCCCAAGACCTGTCACTGGATGCTATTTCACTTCCATCTTTGTAAAGAATAAAGCTCATGTGCTGCTGGGGAGTGGAGCAATTGAAAGTCACTCGGGCACCAGGAGTGACCACAGGGCTGGCCCATGTCTTGAAGAAGGGCTTGGGGTACATTTCTAGAAGGCAGAAAACAAAAACGTGACACAAAACCAAATTAAGAAAAAAAAATAGCTAATATAGCAAATGTTGGTTTCTGGAAGCTGCTTTGTTTTCTATAGCATTACATTCAGAAGTAGGTGTATTTAAAAATCAAGGCAAATCCACTTTGCAGATGGACTTCTCCCAGGGATTCCCGTCCCCCCCACCCCCACCCCTCACCTCCTCCAGCTGAATCCTGCCTGTCATCAGGGTAGGCAATGAAGGCTAGCTAAAAGAGTGAACTGTCATTAGGGCTCTGCTGGTCCCCTGAGGCTCAGTTTGCCCATTTGGGCAAGAAGGGGAAATGGTACCTGCTCCGCCTTCCTGGAATATTTGGCCTATATCTAAATGAGATAATTGATATGAAAATAATTAGAAAAATTAAATCACCCTCCACAAACCCCAGCTATTAATAACAATTATGGCTATTAATATCGTGCAGCCAGAGGCCCTGGCACTCCCAGCGCCACGCCTGCCTGGCTCTAAGATTGGACACAGGCTCCTAGGACCAGCAGCAAAGTTTGCTGTGGGGAGAGGAGTGTCTGACCCAGAGCTTTGCCTCCCCCCTCCTCCCTCACACACTCTTTTCAGCTCTACCTTTTATGACAAGCTCTAGGGGCTCACTGGGCTCAGACCACTTGAAGGGGCGCTTTTCAGTGTGAGTACGGCAGCTATAATTGCCTTCGTCTTTATCCTCCATTCTTTGGATTGTAAAGAAGGCTTCTCTCCCAACGGCACCAAGTTGCTGGACAGGTTCCTGCACTCCCTCCTTATACAGAACAAACTCCATGCCCGCCAGCCATCCTTTGCACCGGATTTGCAATTTCTGGCCCCGGATTGGGGGGGAAGCAGACATGACAGGTTTGGGGAGGATGTCTGGAAAACAAAATGGGGTGGAAAAGGAGGCTGAAGTTTGGAGGTACCCAGATGGGACACTTGGAGTCACTCTGTCAGCAAAAAAAGAAATTCATCCTGGACTGGCCTTTGGCTCTTCTTATCAGTCTCCTTTCACTCTCTTCCCCACCCCCCTCCCCCATTTCAGGGCCCCTCCTCTCCTACTTGCAGCACAAGCCCCTTGGGCTCCAGGTCGCTGTGCATTCCACCCCCTTAGGAACAGTGTTGGAGTCACAGGGCACTGAGGGTCACCCCGGGAGGAACCTCTACCTTTTCTTACCTGTCCCCACCAGCTCAAGTGCCTCACTGGGCTCCGACACAGCCATCTCTTCCCAGGAATGGCAGTGGTAACTCCCGGTGTGGCTCTGGGTCAGGGCTCCAAGGGGGAAGGCAGCCCGGACCTGCTCTGAGGCCGGGCGAGTTGCAATCCACCCGGTCCCATCCTTCAGCAACACAAACTCCTTAGTTGAGCCAGAAGGGCTTCTGCACCAGAGGGTTAAGTTCTTCCACGGGGCAAGAGGGAAGTTGGTCTCTGCCCACAGCTCAGGCTTAGGGGTTGGCATGATTATTTCTAGAAACAGCAGAGTTAATGAAGCCATCTTCCCTCCTCCCTCCCCTCCCCCTTTCTTTGCCCTTGAACCCCCTCCCCAGATCACAGTGCCCAACTCCCCTTTCAACACAAACCCAAACTCTTTCCTTCCTTCTGCAGGTGCTGGGGAAAGGGGAAGATTATGTCTCAGCTGAGCCTCAGGAAAGTGCAGAAGCTTGGGGGAAATTTTACAGGCAGAAAAGCAGAGTTGGAGGCTGAATTTTGCCAGCAGCTTTAGCAAGTGCCCCTTCCTGGCTGTCCTTCCCTCCCAACCAGTCACTCCCTGGCCACTGACACTGACACTCTGTAGTTATTTCAGATCTCCAGGAAGGAATGTCCCAGTCTGGAGCAGGAAAAACTCACCAGTCTCTTCTGTCAATACCCCATTGCATAGTCCTGCAAAAGAAATTGCTGCCAGAGCTCTGCCCCCTCCCCCACGGGACTTCACCCGGCCTTCTGCCCAGACCCCTTCCCCACCCCCTTGTACTCACCACAGCAGAGAAGGGCCGTGACTATGAAGAGCATGGTGACCCCTTGAGCTGTTCCCAGCAACCAGGCTTCTCTAGTGAGACCAGAAAAGAGATGAGAGGAGCTGCTGGGGTTAGGGGGAGGGCGGAGAGAAGGGGGCGGCAATTTATGTCATTGGCTTACTCACCACCCAATAGGGATTGGATTTGGGCAGGATAATGGGATATAATCTTTTCTGACATCGATGACTTTTCTTTTTGAGGGCCTCACCACCTACAAACCCCTTGCTCTTTCATGACCCACGTGCCCACCCCACCCCCTTCCCCTCTCCTCAGCCTATATCAGATGTCAGCTCCCTATGTCCCCTGATTAGGCTGTTGCTGGAATTGAGTTGTCAGATGTGAAAATGCTTTTGTAATTCCAGCTCTCAGAACCTCTGGAGCTCAGAGTGATCGGCAGCTCTAGGTGGCGGGTGTGGGGGTGGAGGGAAAAATCTTGGGTGTTTCTCCGTCATCAAGTTTAAGTTTGGAAGCAGTTTTTATTATGGCAGTATTGGTCCTCAGACCGACCTGCCTCACCTGCTTTTGTTATGGAAGGGTTGCCTAGGCAGCCACAGTGAATTACCCAAAGATTGTCAGTGCTGAGCTAAGCTTGTCAGAGAGTGGGATCTCTCTACCCCCACCCAGATTATGACTAGCAATGTGCAGCAGCTTTGGGTTATGGGTCCTGTAGAATTAGATGATATTAAGCCATAATCCATTCGGCAATTTGTACTTAGAAAACACCGACCCTCCTTCCTGGTCAGGAAAACATGCTTTTCAAGCTGCTTTCTCTGAAATCTGCTTCCGGAGCTCGTTCTTTGATGCAATGGTCTTGAGCTGAGGTGGGGCACTTGAAGCTACATTTTTTTCTAACCCCTGGCTTGGAGGTTACCCCAAGGTGCAGGACTCAGGATCGATTCTGAGGACAACTAGGCCTGGCCCCCCACTGAGACTTTTTGAAAACTCAAAGGGTGGTGGTTTTTGCAGAAGATTTAAGGTGCTCCCTTCTAATTACCCAAGCACTCTGTCCCTCAGATCCTGGTGGAAAACACAGACATATACAATCATAGTCATCATCCATCATGTATGAATGCTCCCAGACACACAAAGGCCCATGATCATGGTGAGGGGGCTATGGGCAAGAGCAGAAGTTTGGGGGTAGTAGGTAAGGCCTTCAGGGGCTGAGGCCCCCACCAACATAGTAGCTGTCATTTCCCTTCCTGTTGTCAGGCAGAATCGCCTGAGCACAGGCCATGGGGATCAGGGAAAAAGGAGGATGGCCCAGGGGACACCAAAGGATCAAAGGAAATGGTAGGTTTGGTTTGCCATTTTGTGGTTCAGAGGAAGCAGTTTGATTTCCTGGCCCAATCCACTGCCTCATCAGATGCCCATCCAAGTTAAGATTATATTCTCAGGATGCTCTGCACAGATGGTTGGAGGCCAGAGCAGCAGAGAGATTGGTTTCTATGGAGACTAGGATGGACCATGAGGCTCTCTAGCCCTTGAAAGCTAGGGGTTAGGGTGAAAAGTTGGGATGGGAGTTGGATTATACCCAGGGAGATAGGACAGCTTGGCTTCTTACAAGAGAAAAAGTTCAGACTAAGTTCATTTGGGAGACATCAGTCATCTCTGAGTGGCCAGGTGGTTTGGGAGGGAGATTTGGGCATTCTCCTGGGTGGGGGTGGGGGGACAGGGAATCAGTGAATGAGGTTCTGATTGCTTCCCCTTCTGAGAATGCTTCTCTACCCTCTGGCTTGGATGCTGACTTCTCTGTGAGGTGAAAGAGAAACAGCTGGGATGAGAAAGTCTTGTTTCTTAAACCCAGAAGGTGGGGGATACAAAGGGTGTGACCCTGTGGCTTATCTCAACTGGGGTATGACCCATTTCTGAGTCTCTGGGGAGCCTGGACTTAGCTAGATTGAAGGACAGGGGGCTAGGACAAGACAGTTACCTGATTCTGAGTCTCCGACACTTCCACCTTATCCACAGCACTACCAACAGCAAGGCAACAAGCTGCATGATTAGGGACAACCTGATAGCTTCATTCAGAATGTAATTCCAGGTGAGAAAGCCTGTGGCCAGAGAAGACCAGAAGCAGGAGCCTTGATAGGGAAAGGGGGAGGTGAAGACATTCGGGGTTGGGGTGGGGAGGAGGGAGGAGGAGTTGGTTACTGAAGGTGAAGGGAAGCTGAGACAGAAGTGGCCTTATTTTTCATGAAGAATGGGAGCTTTGAAAGTATCCTGCTCATTGCCTTTGAGTGATTCTGAAACCACCCCAGGGGAAGTATGCCCAAACCCAAGGGCCCTGATTTACATGCCCCTTACTCCCCTTTCCATTGTTTTCTGGGCACTGCTTCGGGATCCCACGGGTATCATGACCAAAGCCATGGAGGGGCAACCCTACGAAGAGTTGTCCTCTCACCTGCTGGCCCCATCAGCTTCAGAGGCTCTCTGCGATCTGACCAGATGTTGGGGTGTGCCTCTATGCGATAGCTGCAACTGTAGGTCCCTGTGCCTTTTCCTTCAGCATTACTGATGATGAAGTCTCCATCCACTGAGAATTTTTGGAATGTTGCTCTTTCTTCCCATTCCAGAGAAAATTTAAGTACTGGATGAGGTACTCGGCACTGAAGGGTAATGGCCTTTCCTAGCTTGAACACGGTGCTGGGCGAGGCCGACAGGGAGGGTTTGGGGGGCTTATCTGCAACCAATCCAGAAACCAGAGTTAGAATAAGTGACCTTGAACTCAGTACCCCTTCCCCCAACAAGTTTCTCGGCTTCTTATGTGATCTTTCCTGTCTTTCCACTTCCACTAGATCAGTGGTCTCAAAATTTGACTGTTCTTTAGAACCTCTTGGCCCACTCCTCAGTATTCTAAAGATTCTTGTGTTTCTACCTTCTATCACAAATACCTCATACCTGTAAGTTTCCCCTGGCCAGAAGGAAAATAACATTTCCTGGGGTCACAATGGGGCTAGGCCATGCCAAGAGGCAGGGCTTGAGTAACAATCTTGGGAGAGAAAGTATGCAAAGTTTTTGGAGAAAATTCTGCACCACCTTCCTAGCATATTTTTCCTCAGCTCATAACTCCAAGAGGGTACAGGGCTGCTAGCTCCTTCTTAGAATACTGTAATGATGATAAAAACAAACATTTGTTAGCACTCGCCTACAACTACGAGCTCCACGGTGTTGTGTGATGTCATCCTGATGGAGGTCTTCCAGGAGAGGAGATAGTGGCAGCTATAGATGCCAGCATCACTATAGGTCACATTGTTGAGGAAGAATGACTCATTGTCATCAGTGCTGGTGGTATCCAAGAGCTGAAGTGGTTTGTCTTCTCCTTTCTTATAGAGTGCAAGTCCCACTCCATTCACTGGCCCTAGACACCACAGGCTCACGTTCTGACCCATCTGGACCACAGGAGTGGGCTGAGCAAGTAGCCAGGTCTTGGGAAAAGTGTCTAGGATGAGACCCAAAATATAAAGGGCTAGTGGTCTGACTCCCCTCTCACCACTAAGGGTTCTCTTCCTTCAGTCCACCCTTGGAAAATCCCATCCTAAGCCCAGTTGTACAAATTCTGTTCCCTTTCCCACTGTTAGCCCTCGCTGCATGATCAGGCTCTCCAGGCAGCCCAGAGGGAGTTGTATATCCTTAGCCCCTAACGTAGGTTCCCTGGCATTCCCCTTTCTTACCGGTCACCCAGATTTTCAGGATATCACTAAGGAGTGAACCCCTGTATGACCCATCATAGTAAAAACAGAGGTAATGTCCAGCATCCTGGATTTTCAAAGCCCGGAAGAAGAAATATGCCTCATTTTTTATCGGCCTCTTGCGGTAAAAGGATTTCTCCAAGTCTTCAAGCCTTATTAGAGCAAAGGTCATTCCATAGATTGGCCCCTGACACCTGAGGTTCATGCTTTCCCCAGGTGCCATAATGGGCCCAGGATACGCTGTCAGAGTTGGTTTGGGATAGAGTCCTAGAAAGGGAAGAGACCCTGAATTAGAGATAGGATGATTCTTCCCTATTATCTTTTAGTTTTATTTTTCTAGTTTTTTCTTTTCTTTTTTTTTTTTAA